CAATAAACTCTGCATAATTGCTAAAGTTAGTTTCTGCTATAGCAATTGTTGTTGCTCTGAAATTGTTTTGCAGTTTTAGTTTATGGTTGAAGTTTTTAGCATTTATTCCATTTTCACATACTAATACAATTTGCTTTCTATCTTGCAGGTAAGTTTCGCCAAGTCCATTTCGCATCTCATGGGTAAGTTGAAATGTTTCAATTTCCATTTCTTTCACACGTTTCAGAGCACACACACGCACACACACGCACGCACACCGAGCGTGTAGCTTAGATATTCGCATATAAATTTAAATTCTAGCTGAAAGTTTCTCATCTCTTTGTTATCTATGGCGAGCGCCTTCAGAGTCAATATGCATTGGATATCTCTTGTGTGGAGCGTAATTAATGGCTCTTTGGGTTTGCATGCGCAACTATAAAACTTTTTCTATCTCTCAGCATCTGTGAAGTTTCTGTTTTGAGAAGATTGCATTTTTTACTGCTGCTGCTGCTGGTCGAGCTGAGTCGAGTCGAGTTCATTACAATTGACATTTGATTTAAAACGCACTGTGCAAGCAGCTTGACAGAGACACAGGACAGAGACAGACGCACACAATAATATCCTGTCTGAGCAGCAGGCTGCTAAACCGAGAGAGATATGCGACAGGGCAACGGGAGCAAAGGCTAACCACTGTCCACAAATAAAAAGCTCAGGCCGCAAACATTGCGGTAAACAAGAGACAACTGCAAAGTTCATAGGGACACATGTTTATCAATGTCCCAAACACACAAACACACATCAAAAACAAAAATAAAAGAAGAAAACCAGAAAAAATAAGAAAAATAAAGAAGCAAAAAGTAAAAATTGCCAGCTAAGAAACGGAAAAGCAGGCGGGCTTTACACACGCAGACGTCAGACAATTTTCGGGCTTAAAGTCGAAGTCGAAGTCGAGTCGCAGACAGTGTGGCAGACGAGCCCATGGGTTGGAGGGGCCAGGGCGGTCGGCTATATATTTAGGCAGGATATTGATTGATTTATTGCATGCAGGAGACCCTAGAGACCGCCTAGGCGTCGTACTCCACACAATGAATGTCACAAATTGGCGGAAAGAGGCTCGTGGCAGGCTGCTCGCTTTTTGTAGGCGTTGCAAGCATTTCAGAGTTATTAAATGAAGCGAGCATCGAAATGAGTGAGTGAGTGTGTATGGGTGTGCATGTGTGTGTTTGCAGCAGAAGAGGCAATTCAGGCAAATATTTGGGATACTTGAAGTTCTTAAATGCAATTTTCGTTTATTTTTCTGGCCAAAAGCACTTGGTTCGAGCCAGATAAAACTTTGTCTTTTCTGCACAATAAACAACAATAAACTTTATGCTGCCGAGGAAATAGTTTATTTTCACTTCTACTTTTTATTATTTTTGTTTTTGTTTTGTTTTTTTTTTTTTGTATGAAGTCAGCAATTGAATCGAAGCGGCGCGCCATTTGGCGACTTGTCACAGCATTTTCGAGCTGAACCCAAGCGAACCGCTGACCGCAAGCCAGGCAAGTGGCAATATGTGAAATAAAATGTTTATCGTGTCGTTGCGGCTGCAGCACATACTAATACATGAAGCTGGGCAGCTCGCAGCCAACTTGTTGTGTTGCCGGCGTGTCAATAATTTTCAGCAAACTTTCTGTTTAGTTGGCCAGCGGCAGGCGAACCGAATGAAAGTTTGGAGTCTCGCATTAAACCAAATCAATTGACAGTCGTTAACAGGCGCGATGGAGTCAAAGAGTGCTTGAAAAAGACCTTAAAGACTGGCGCTGGCTACAACAAATGGCCAGGCCATTTGCTCTGACTGCAATTGATTGGCCATGGCCAATTTGGCGCTGGCTACGTAAGTCCGCTCATTTATTTATTTATAAACAAAGCATAGATGACAAAAAAGAGAGAGAGAGAGAGAGAGAGAGAGAGAGAGGGGGATTGAAGGCAGCAGGAGTCGGCGAGACAGTCAGACAGCCAGGCGACACGCACACACACACGCACACACACACACACGCACACACTCATATACAAGTCTCTTACAAATGCGAGCGGCAAGCTAACCGAATACTAGACTCATCTGTGTACGGCGGCCGCACATGGCAGTGACTAATTAATTTTACACCGTTTATCGTGCGTCTGCTCGCGCGTTCAGCTTAAGCCATACAAATCAATCAAGAGCAGAGGTGGAGCTGGGTGGCAGAGCGAAGGGAGCAGGGCAGGCACATGCTATTCATGCCTTGGCTTGCCTGCTTGGCCAATTAGCAAAGCATACAACAGACACACACACACACATATACACACATGCACTTTGCATGGCGCCAGCAGGACCGACCATTGCCAGCGACCGGACCCGGCTACATTTGTATATACACATAAACATATACATGTGTGTGTGTGTGTGTGTGTGCACTTAAGATAGATGAATGAAGTGGCAAACATGGCGGACAGTTTGGATTTCAGCTACAGTCGCCGCCGTTTTGACCAGTTCGAGGCGTCGACTGTCCGCTGACATTTACAAATCAGCGCCAATTATTTATGGGGCAGCTGGGGCAGCTGGGTCAGTTGAGGCGATCGACGAGTGTAAGCGCGTATTTAATTAAATTTTCACTTTACATATGACCCAAAGTTCAGAGAGAAGAGAGAGAGAGAGAGAGAGCACGCACGGGTGTCATCAGCATCGAGTTGGCCACTTAATAAGCCGTAAGAGGCCGTTGGAGACCGTTCGAAAAACTTGGAGGCCAAGAAATATGCCGTCTCAAAGTTCGGCAGTTAAAAATGAAATGTTGCAAAAAATGCAAATAAAAATTGGTATGATAAACTCGAAAGTTAAGTGCCTGAAAATGCCTGCCACAGACTGTGGTTATGACTGCGCGAGTGGCTGTAAAAGTGGCTCAAAAGTTGCCTCTAGTGGAGCAGGCTCCGGCTCAAGTTGTGTGTACAGTGGAGACTCGATGAGAGTGGAGAGTAGGTAACTTAAGGAATTCACCTACTCCTGCCGCCTGCCGCCTGCCGCCTGACGGCCTGTTTAATGGCAGCCCAGGTCCAGACCCAGCCGACAGTCACTCAGCATAAATAGTAGAAGGCAAATGGCAGAGCTGACGCTTTGGCTGCTCGCCTGCCATAGATGAGGGCCACCCACCGCAAAGCGTTTAAAATGTGTCTGTGGCTGTTAAAAAGTGGAGAAAAAAAGGGGAGAGCAAACGGCAAGAAAATTACGAAGAGCAGCAGGAAAAAATGCAATAGCAATAGCAAAGTGATACGGCAAAGAGTGTGCGAGTGTGTGTGTGTGTGTGTGTGTCGAGGCGCAAGCGTGAGTGAGTGCAAATAAAATAGAAAACCAAGGCAATTTTTCAGCTTCATTAAGTAACCGCAAAGTTTGTTTTATGTGCGGTCAGCTACAAGCCAAGCCAAGTCGAGTCGAGTCGAGTCGAGTCGAGCCAAGTCGAGCCAGCTAAAGGCAACTGTAGAAGCTAAAATGTAGCCGATAAACATATGCGCTTCAAAAGTTGAAGAAAAAATTCTCTACCCCTCGCCATAAAGTCAAGCATATTAAGTAGACGTCAGTAAATTAGTAAAACACAAATTATTAGACATATACTTAAAAGAGCGAGAGAGAGAGAGAAAGAGATAATGAATGAAAATACCCTAGAGCTAGTAAGCTGCCATTGCCTCTCTTTGTGCTGTTCTTATATTTATGTATAATATTGCATATTAGCTCTGCCATTATAATATCTTAATTATATTTGCCATAAATGGACTGTGAACTGCTGTTCGGGCACTTAGGACGACGAGTACTTAGTATGCTTTGCTCTAAATTATGTACCGAATCATTGCTAAAGGCACTGCTAAACAGACTTTACTAATAAACCTATAAAGCACACAAACACACACAAACACACACACACACACACATACACACAGATTCAGATTTGGCAGGCGAAGCAGTGCCAAAACTGTTTGCCTTGGACATTGACAAATATCCAAAGCGTCAGCCCCTTCCGTCCCCGTTCTCCAAACAGCAGATTGGCTGTATTTTGTGTTAAATCAGCAACAATTGTTGCCCAAGCCCAAAATTGAGAAGCTGCAGCTATCACTTTGGGGTTTCCACATTGCAATTGAAGTTGAAGTTGGAGTTTGGGCTCGAGTTGCTTTGCATTGCTTACTTGGGGCTTGGCTTTGGCAGCCGCTTTGGCCAGCAGCCAGGCAGAGAGGAAATTAAAATTTATACAGCATTGAGAACGCGGTAGCAGCAGCTGCTGCTGCAACGGCAACAAGGCTCACTGAGGCATTCTGCTATTTAGCATGTTTCTTAGCCAGCTCGGAATCTTCGTTGCCAAAGCGGAAAGCGTGGCTGCCATTAAGCTGCCAATCGACCATTTGTCAGCTTCGATTGCGGCAATAGAAATCGCATGGCAAAAAAAAAAAAAAAAAAGGGAAGGAAAATGAAATGAGTAAAAGAAAAGATGCTGTTGCCAAGTTGTTGCCAATGCATTGGGCTTTGAATTGGGTTAAGTGATTTGGCGTTCAATCAATGCGCCACGCCTCACATGGGCGTGCATAATTATGGACTGTGCCGGGGCTCTATTTGTTTATGCTTGGCATATTACACATACGCCATGTGGTCGGCCGCCCGAATCGCGCATTGCCAATAAACAGTTGTGGGCCTCGCTGCCATTATGCCATTCATTATCTTTTGGGGCGATCGGCGAATGGATTTCAGCACTGGGAATTGTTCTGATAGCGGCCTTTCAGCGTGCTCAGTGCGTTGCACGCCCGTCTGCGTCTGCCATTTAAATCAATTATGCGTTTTTGGCCTAAAACATGCAATTAAGTGCGCTGCAGCATGCATAGCCAATGAGCCAGCGAAATGTTTGGCTCGAAATTTAATCAACTGGACAAATGATTTGAGGGCTTTGAAGAATTTTCAGTTGATTTTGAAAGCAGATCAATGGAAGCCCGAATAGTTCGCGATTCTTTGCATGAATCAAAGCCTAAATCGTAGTTGTCCGTCTGAAAACGTTATTTAATTTGTTGTGCATTTCCGGCTAAAAACAATGTATTTAATAACAAGCTCTATTCATCCTTATTCTCTCTCAGGGCCTTCCATTCAGCGACGCGAGTTTGCAGTGTAATCAAGCGCTCATTCAATTCGGCTGTCATATTGGCAATTTCCTCCGATCTGGTTGGCTTCTTTGGCATTACGTATGCCGGCTTAATGAAGTTCAGCTTTTTTCTGGGTGTCGGCCGTTCGATTTTGATCGGTCGCGGCGTCAGTGACGGCAGTTTGTTCCTCTGAGGAATTTTCAGCATGCTTGCAGCCGTATAAAACAATATAGTCCAAAATAAAAAAAAAATTGTTCACAACTATCGCTGAAGTAATGTAATTTAATTCAGGCTTAGATTTTAGTTGAACGGGCTACTCAATAAAATGTACGTGAGTGAGACTTTTTCCCGAGCAATTCACACTGAATATGTGTAAATATGTTAATTAAAGTGAGGCCTGCTCGACTAATACGACTGGGACAAATTGTCAGCTCTTACGTTGCCTATTATCTGTCATTTACCAGGGCTCCGCCTCCTGCTGGCCATTTCATTAGCCCGGCAAGGCAAGGCAAGGCAAGGCCTGTGCTGTGCCTTGCATTTGCATTGCCCTTTGGCCCAAGGACTTTGGTCTTTGTAATTCGCTCATGTGCAATGCTTTAAATACCACAAATGGAATTTTTAATTGTCTGCTAAGCAAACCGACTCACACACAGCTCAGTTTTATACGTGACCGGCTCTGTCGACATATTTATAATTTCTTTAATGTGGCAGAGGCAGAGGCAGAAAAGAGCAGCAACCGACCGAGCGACCGAGCGACCGACCGACCGAGCCTCGTAGTCTCTGTAGTCTCAGTCGGCCCAGTGACAACCCGTTACAAAAGCTTTCACTGCTTAGCGCACTTGAGTTACTTTATTATGTAAGCGCCAGATCCCAGGACAGCTCTCTATCTCCCTCTCGCTCTCCCTCTCGCTCTCGGCTCAACCCACTTGGCATAAAAAGGTGAACTTCAGTGTCATTTGTTTGCAGCCGCCGTCGTTCGAGTTGTCGGTTTGCAACTGAACTCTGCCTCTTGCTGCCTCTCGTGCTCTCAGCTCCTGTGGGGACAACTTAAGTTATCTTTATGCTTCAAAAGGCCTACGCCGAGTCGGACGACTGACGACTGTCTGGCATACAGTCAGACAGGCTGTTGAGCACTGGCACAGCCATGGTTGGAATTGCTATGCTGTGCTGTGGGCTGCCTACGCCTGTTCCTGCTTGTTCCTGCTGCCTCTTCAGCTCGTGCCCAGCCCCTTCCTTTGGCTCGTCGCGCTGGGGTCGGCAGTCTCCCGCCTTTTTCATATTTCAATTGAAATGCGCAGCAGCACAATTAAAAATCAAGCCAAGTGATGCGTGCCAGTGCCATGGCAAGTGTTTGCCGAGTGTTTGTTGTTTAAAATGAAGCGCCATAAATGGACAAGTTGTTGGGCCTCTACCGAGTGTGCCTTGAGGCAGCACATGGCCCAGTCAACAGTCGACACTGAACAGAGAACAGAGAACAGTCCATAGTCCGTAGTCCGTAGTCCGTAGTCCATACTGTACTGTGTGTCCTGCTCGGTTGTGCTCTTGTCTCTTGTCGCCTGAGGGCAGACTTTTGTTGGTTTTTATGTGTCCCACTCGTTACTGTTCTTTAAGCATTTGCTTAGCTGGGCAATATTTTTGGCTTTTGTCATCAGTGTGTTTTGTTTGCCCGGCCACGCCTATGGTTTTATGATTTCCCTACTTCTCCTTCTTTATTTTATTTTATTTTTATTTTTTGCTGTGTTTTTGCTGTGGGGAAGTGCATAATTTATTATTCACAGAGCTGTTGATTTGCACAATGGGAAGAAATAATATAAAGAGCGGACAATTAGCAGAAATATGCCAAGGGATGTGTACATAAATAATGCCCAGCAATGTGTGATAATTTAATTAAATATTTAAAAACAAAAAAGTTGATGAAGGCGGATTGAAAATATATTTAGAGAATTGTTCAAGGAATTTATAGAAAATAAAGGGATTTGGTTTTAGTTTAAAGTTGTTAGGCAAATCCCATTGTAGCTTGTCAAATTTTCATTGGATTTCGGCCAGAGACTAAATTAAATATGCCTATGCCTGTTCTGGGCCATCTCCTTCGCATCTAGCCTGACAGTTACAGAGCCTTGTCATTGGCACACAACGTGGCGTATGCTCAACATGCCAGTAAATGAAAATGAATGAATGCGAATGCGAATGTGAATGCGACATGTTTTTACTACTCTTCATGCTTGCTGCTCGAAACTATGCTCAGCGAGAGCGGAGAGGGAAAAAAATAACACAATCGAATTTTTGCCAGATGAATTTTGTAGATGCCAACTCTTTTTGCAGAGTCCACTCTGTCGTCCGGCGGCTCCTTCTACTTGGGCAAAATCAGTGAGGCGTGCTTTTGACATTTAACAAGCTATGCGGCCAGTTGGCTAGAGCCGGAGCGATGCTTGTGCAAATGCTTTTAATTAAAAAATATTTGCAGCCAAACTTTGCATAATTTCGACTCAATAGTTTTTAGGCAGACAGGCAGGCAGGCAGAGTGAGTGAGTGAGAGGGAGAGAGAGAGAGAGATGGGGCAGTGGAAGTGAGATGGGCAGCTTAGTAGCCAGGCACTTAGGCACAGAGCACTGAGCGCCGAGCGCAGCGGCTGGACACGATGTGCGATAGTAGATGAGTGCGACGACATGTGACAACTCATCAGGCTGGGCACCATTGGGAACTGGAACTGGATTTGCTTTGCGCCAGCTGCGTGTCTCTGTGTGAATTAGTGTCCAGCTGGACGGAGTGTCCTTCCTGTGCAGGTGTCGCTGCTATTGTCATATTTTCCACTGTCCAAAGCCGTTCGTCCGTAGGCGTGTGCCTCTGTGTCTGTGTGTCTGCGTGTGTGTGTGTGTGCTAATGGCTTTGGAAAATCAAAAGCGAGATTAGTCAATGGTGCCGCAATTGAGTGGCAGGACAGCAGAGACCAGAGCAGACCAAAGCTGGACAACAGCGGGCCCAAAAGCCAGCACACAGACAGCACAGCTGCAATTGAGCGCATTGTTGTTGATGTTGTGCTCGTGTTGTTGTTGTTGTTGTTGTGAGACTGATTTTAAATTTGATGAAAATTCCAGCAACATGGCGTATGCGTAATATAATTTGGCAGCAGGCAAAAATCCGAGTTTAAGCTCGGCCAACAAAAATAAAACTAGAAAAGAAATAAAAACTAACAACTGCTGCACAATTGCAGCACAGCGTATGGGCGAGTGGGCGAGTGGGCGTGGCTGAGTGGCTGAGGGATGGGAGCACACACATATTTTTGATGCTGAAAAATATTTGCAAATAAATTGCCAAAGCCGAAAGCCATAGGGAGAGACAGAGAGTGAGAGAGAGAGGGAGATAGAGCAGATCTAGAAGCCAGCGCCGAAAAATGGCTAACAAACGTAGTTGGCCCGGCTGCCAGTGACGTAAATCTATTTCAGTTGAGGGATTTTTACATCAAACATGCCGGACAGTTTTGCATTGCAGCAGTTGCAGCAGGAGCAGCAGCAGGCGCAGCAGCAGCAGCAGGAGCAGCAGTTGTTGCACCCGTTGCATGCTGTGGGTGTGCCCGTTCACAGTGCGTATGAGTAATCTTCTGTTTGAGCTGCCAACGGGGAGTTAGCAAGTTTTTGTTGCCTTTTCTGTGTTTTTGATTAAAAATCGCAACTGTAAATTTATTTCATTTAATTTCTCACTGGCTGTGCTTTTGGGTTTATATATTTGTTTTTCTTATGACCAACCAGCATGCCAACGTATTTGAATTTTAATTTGCTTTGGCAATAGATTGCCTCAAAAACAACAAAATCAAAACACAAAAAAAAAAAAAAAAAAAAAAAAAAAAACTAAAACAACAACAAAATCTCTCACAACGGGACTGCCCAGCTTTGTTTTGGGCATATCGGGCGCGGCACGCTCGTATATCAAATTCAATTGTATTTGTTGTTACTCCTGTTGCAGCTGCATTTGAGTTACAGCGGTTAGTTGTAGCTGCTATTTTTGGTGAAGTGAACGACGGGCTTTTATTTAGTTATGCGGCGTTTGTCAGACAAAAAATCCAATAACGGCCATACAACTAAATGCGTCTGGGAATCGAATGGCCCTAACCAAAAGCACTTTCAACGATGAGGTGGTTAAGCTTTGTTGATAAAACAAAAATAAAACATATATATTGAAACATATGAAATATATAAGGGGAATGAAACTTTAAGTGTTTCTGTTGAGGCAAATAAATATATATATATATACATTTACCTATAAATATCAAATGTATAGAGCTAATCTAATTGATAGAGGTTTAAGAGTTAAGCCTGAGGCAGTTTTCTTTATAAAAGTTTTTTCATTCTCTTCATTATCAATTATAATTAGGGCAAGGCATACAGTCGAAGGTATATAAATATATATAAAATAAATAAAAATGAAAAAATAATAGAGTTTTTTGGGCCTAAGAATGAGACAGTTTTCTTTAGTCTTTTAATTTCCTATAAATTCTGCTATCGATTGGACTTAGGGCGGGGGCTTCAGCTTCAGGCAAGCAATCAAGATCTCATCAAATTCCATATGAGCCAACTCCATGGCCACTCTCCGTGGCAATAGTAGAAGCAGTTGTGCCTCAGTTCGCTATAAACTTAACTACTCTCTCCCTCTCTCTCTCTCTCTCTCTCTCTCTCTCTTTTTCTTTCAATTTATGCAATGTTTAATTATTAATGGCAATAAACTGTGTTTTGTCCCTTTAGTTGCTGCACTCACTTGCAAATAGGGGAAAATTGCCATACACACACACACAGGCACACACACAGGCACACACACACACACACACACACACACACACACACACAGAGACATCAGTTGGACATCAAATTGAGCATTTGGTTAGCGCGTTTGTAGCGCCATTCATTTCAGTCGCAGGCCTCGTGTCGCCTCGCTGATTTGCATGCGAGCCAAAGGAGCACTTCACACACACACACACAAACACCAGCCCATGTGTGTATATAAATGTATATAGTTTAGAATGAGAGAGAGAGAGAGAGCGAGAGGCGTAACCTCAAAGTCGTCTAGCAGAATGAGAGAGAGAGAGAGAGTGAGCGAGCGAGCGAGAGGCGTAACCTCAAAGTCGTCTAGCAGTCGTCGTCGTCGTCGTCGTCGTCGATGTTGTTGTCGCTGTCGTGTTATGTGTGACATTTGTTTGTTTAGACGGCACTCCTGGCGACAAATATAAATGTTAGTTACGCTTTGAGAGTTTTGCCTTGCCAAATTGCCTGTCAAGTCTCGCTCTAACTCTCTCTCTCTCTGTCTCTCTCACTCTCTGGCTGGTTATAAATATCGCAGGCCGCTTTGGGCCGCGTTTAGAGAGCGTTTGCTGCATGCAATTTGTCTGCCACATGAATTTCAGCA